ATATATATATATATATATATATATATATATATATAGAGAGAGAGAGAGAGAGAATGAGAGAGAAAAATATAGAGAGTTCTCTTTTATATATATGTATATATATACATATATAAATAAATAGAAAGCTGTCAATAGATAGACAATGAAATGAATTAGATAGATAGATAGATAAATAGATAGATAGATAGATAGATAGATAGATAGATAATGGAATGAATTAGATAATGAAATGAATTAGATTGATAGATAAATAGATAATGAAATGAATGAGATAGATAGATTTAAACAGGCATAGATAGATAGATAGATAGATAGATAGATAGATAGATAGATAGATAGATAGATAGATAGATGAAATGAATGAGATAGATAGATAGATAGATAGATAGATAGATAGATAGATAGATACATAGAAAATGAAATGAATTAGATAGATAGATGAAATGCATGAGATAGATAGATAGATAGATAGATAGATAGATAGATAGATAGATAGATAGATGAAATGAATGAGATAGATAATTAAATGAATTAGGCAGATAGATAGATAGGTAGATAGTATACCTCTGAATTTCAACAAAGAGAAGCTATTATTAATTACCTTATTTTCATTTGGACTATTATCCTCATCTTTGTTGATATTATCGGACGTTTTAACCCTTGCACACTCTACTTCTCGATCCGAGTACCCTTCCACGACCCGATAAATCTTCAGTGAAACCTTCATTTAATCCAAATCTACACTGCCCGGCTATTCCTGTCGCGACTAAATTCGATCAATTTACACGTACACTCACATACATATATTTTTTTTTCGATCAATTCACTCCAAGTAAGGCGATAATGCCACTAACACGACTAGGAGAGAAAGAGAATAAGAAGATGTTATGTGAAGGAACCGGAAACACAATCCTAAACAGGAAACAAAGGATAAGCCTCTAACCCTGTTCAAAATACAAGGGAGGAGTGTGAACCGGACGATACTCTAGCCTATTGTGGAAACAGAAATAAATATAAAATCAAATAAATAGTCAATGAAATTTCAAATATATTTATATATTTATATATTTGTGTACGAGGTGAATTAAAAAATTATTGATATTTTGAGCGTCAAATGACAGTCTCAAACAAAGAAACCCTGAGAAAATTTAAAGCTTTATGGGTTGGCTGTTTTCGAAAAAAAATCTGTAAAATACCCGGCAAGACGCAATAAAACAAAAAAAAAATGTGCGTGTGTGTGTGTACGTGTGTGTGTGTGCGCGCGCGCGATTTGAAAGGGGTGAAAATGTGTGTTAATGTCAAAGCGAGCAAGAATAAAAGGTACAGAATACTGAAAAAATAAAACAATGCACACACACACACACGCACACACACACACACACGCATGTATATATAAGGGGAGAGGGAGAGAGAGAAAACAAGAAAGAGAAAGAATCAGACAGAAACAGAGAGAGTGAATTGATAGGAAAATTGCCAGACTTAATGATAGGAACATTCTGGAATAAAGAGATATCTAAAGATTACGGCACTACCAAAAACACACGCACACGAGGCGGTCCTCATTTACACACGCACTCATTCGTACGCACACACACATGTCTGTGTGTAAAAAGAAAGAGATAAAGACATAGATAGATAGATAGATAGATAGATAGATAGATAGATAGATAGATAGATAGATAGATAGAACAATCGTTGATGTATACATAAACTAAGGTCGATATTATTTTTATATTTTTATAGATGAAATGAATGAGATAGACAGAAAGATAAATAGATAAAGAAATGAATGAGATAGATAGATAGATAGATAGATAGATAGGAATAGACTGATAGATGATAGATAGATAGATAGATAAGGACACATTGAGATAGATAGATAGATAGATAGATAGATAGATAGATAGATAGATAGATAGATAGATAGATAGATGAAACGATTGAGATAGATAATGAAATGAATTAGATAGATAGATAGATAGATAGATAGATAGATAGATAGATAGATAGATAGATAGATAGATGAAATGATTGAGATAGATAATGAAATGAATTAGATAGATAAATAGATAATGAAATGAATGAGATAGATAGATAGATAGATAGATAGATAGATAGATAGATAGATAGATAGATAGATAGATAGATATCTGTTCAAAAGTTTCTGATATGCATTTTGGTAAAAGCTCTATAAATTTATGTTGATCATTTCGTCTATATATATATACGTAAATATTCAAGCATCCACACACACACACGCGCACACACACACAGACACACACATATATATATATATATGGTCCCTTGTACATATATATAGGTAGCTATGAAATTGTGATTGAGTAGACACTTTCTCCATGTTTCATAAAGGCAGCTGGATTTCCTATTGTTATCTACTCACCCCCACCACCGGCGAATATGTGTCCGGCCATAAAGGGTTCACTTAATGGAAGTACGAAATCTGCAGGAACATTTGTGCAGCTGGCATATGTGCATGTTA